AGATAAATCATCAAAATCGGATGAGTTAGAGGTTACCTTAGAATCTTCCCCGAATGCCATCAAGCACAAGTTTGCTACTTCTTGTTCCTCTTCATCGGAACCTTCTTCATCGCTCCATGTAGCCACATGAGCCTTGTGCTTATTCTTTGATTGACCCTTCTTCTTCAATTGTGGGCAATCATATTTGACATGCCCTGGCTTTTTGCATTCATAGCAAATGATCGGGTCCTTCTCTTTTGGTTCATCTTTGAGGCCTTCATTTCGTTTGAATTTTCGTCCTCGGTAAGGTCTCATCATTTTTCTGAACCGTTTGGCAAACAATGCCATTTCCTCGTCATCATCATCATCATTAGAATCACTCTCATCTTTTGTGGATTTGAGAGCAACTCCAATGTTTTTCTTCTTCTCCTTCTCCTTTGGTGTCTCTTCAACTTTATCAAGGTCCACCTCATCTTCAAGCATCATCTCATGAGTGAGGAGTGAACCGATAAGTTCTTCAAGAGTTAAGGACGATAGGTCCTTAGACTCGATGATTGCCGTCTTCTTTGATTGCCATGATTTTGGGAGGGAGTAGACTAACTTCCTCACAAGCTTTTCATTTGAGATGATTTCTCCATATGATTTGAGACCATTGACAATCGTTGAAAATCTATCCTTCATAGCTTTGATGTCTTCATTTGGTTTCATCCTGAAATTTTCATAGCTATGCGTTAGAATACTAATTTTTGATTTCTTTACCTCATCGGTACCTTCATGTGTGACTTGAAGCTTGTCCCATATTTCTTTGGCGGTTGTACACGATGAAACTCTTCCGTATTCATCTGGTCCAAGAGCACAAAAGATAATATGGATGGCTTTGGAGTTGAGCTGGAACATTTTTGTATCTCCTTCACTCCACAACCTTGGATGAGTGATAGGCTTAATGTATCCTTCTTCTACGGCATTCCATGCTCCCATGTCACTTGCTTGAATGAAGTACATCATTCTATTCTTCCAATAGGCGTAGTTAGCTCCATTGAAGAAAGGAGGCTTGTTGACGGGCATCGAATCGAGACCGGAGTCGAAGTTTGAAGCGGAGGCCATTGATGACTTTAATAATCGATATAAATCTTCCCGAATCGACTCAAGAGGCGATAAAACCTTCAAATGAGTTAGGCTCTGATACCAATTGTTGAGTTAATCGAATGACGAAATTGGCCAAGAGGGGGGTGAATTGGCAATAAAAAATTTGTGGAAGCTTTTGCAGAAAATTGAAAGTAATTGCACAGCGATTTACAGTGGTTCGACTTTCTCAAACAAAGTCTACGTCCACTACCTTAGCTATCCACACTAAGGATTTTCCAACAAATTCACTAATTTGTTCTTTCTTTTGAGGCCAAAGGGATAACCTTACAATTCCCTCAAGAGTATACCCCAACTCTTGAGAACACTCTTTTCTCAAAGAGAAGATTACAAATTTGCAAACTTACAAGAAAACCTCACAAGGTAAGATGTTTGCACAATTCTAGAACAAAGAAAAGAACACTCAAAGATAAATACAATTGAGCACAAAAAGTGTTCTTGAAAGCAAAATGAATATTGAATGAAAATAGGCTTGAAATGCTCAAACTTGAGGTTTGATGCTCTCTTTGATTCTCTCTTGATTCTAGTTGCTTGATGTTTCTTATTGTTGATCAATGGCTTCTAAGCTTGCTTAAATACACCTTGGATCACTTCTGAACGTTGGGGATGATTAGAGAAGATATTATAGCCGTTTTAGTGTGAAAACATTTAATAAAACAGCTTGGAGCGTGGGGGGAATCGGTTCCCCCTTGAAGGGAATCGGTTCCTAAGTGTAAAATTCAAATATTTCGACCATTGTACAAGGGGGGAATCGGTACCCCCTTGGGGGGGGATCGGTTCCCTCCGAGCATACTGGAATTCTCGGAACAAAACTGTTTAGGGGGGAATCGGTTCCTCCTATGGGGGAATCGGTTCCCTCCGAGCATTCTGGAAATCTCGGAGCCAAACCATTCAGGGGGAATCGGTTCCTCCTATGGGGGGGAATCGGTTCCCTATGAGCAATCTGGAATTTTTGGCTTTGAATTGGTTCGAAATACTTTGTAAAATTATTTTGAAATTGTTTTATGATTAAAACTTAATTTTACACTTAAGTAAGGAAAAAATGATTTTTGAAATATTTGGAGTAATGTTTTGATATTCGAATAGTTATATCGAATATACTTAGAAAATCATTTGGAAAATGCACTTTTAAAATCCATTTAACTTAATTTGTTATATCGAAATATCAAAATGTTTCAACACACGCCTTATCATAAAGGGTGCTAGATCGATAAATTTTGGTGAAAGGGTCCTGATAAGTAATTATTACCTGTCAAGATGATATTTCAGTAAAAAGCTACATTTTCAAGCATTTTTTCTTCCTATCTCTATTTTTTTTTCTTAAATCCAAAACATAAAGAGAGTGAAGGGGAGGGGACAAGTGGGCTTACCTTTTGTCTTGGGTTTTCCTTCATCCATGTCCTAGAAACTTAGGAGTCGTTTTTTAGTAGCCTTTGCATGTTAGATTTAAGATCTTATTTTGGGGTTAAAGGGAATGATAGAATGTTTTAGAGCGGTTAAGAGAGTCACGATGGTCTCGGAAGTGCTGGAAATCGAGAGGTCAGAGGGTCTTTTAGGGTCATTGGAGGTCATAATTTGTGATTTTGGTTTCAAAACTGGGTTCAGGAGAGAAAATAGAAGTGTAACATGTGTTTTTGTCCGAGAATTTTTCTTTATTTTATTTTATTTTCGTTACAGCTTTGCTTATTTCGGTTTATTTGTTTTATAGTATTATTATAATTATATAGATACATAGTATATAGTTTTTGAATAAATAATATAGTATTAAGATATATATATATATATATAAAAGATAGATAGATAGATAAATATATAATAATATAGATTTTAAGAAATGAGTATACATATAATATTATATATAGTTTTGAAAATTTATATAAATATATTAATATGATATAAATACGCGCACACACACATATATATTTATATATTTCTACTATTGTGACAAATTTAATTTTCTCAAAATTAATTTTGTCACTATTAGTAGTTTTTTGGTGACAAAATAAATAATCGTCGCATTAGATTAAAACAAAATATACAATTATGACAAAAGCTAAAATAGTCATAATAATTTGTCACAGTTAGTAAACATGTGTAATATATGGTGACAAAATAAATTTTGTTACGAATTTTTTTCACAAATGTTCATCTCCAATTTTTTAGCGTCAAATTGAAGGCATATAGTGACAACTTTTATAACTAAAAGTTTTAGAATTGTCCAACAAATAATGAGATTTAGATTTGTTGTGAGAAATTTTGTTTGTAATTATATAATTTAATTATAGTGACAAAATGTATAGTCACAAATTATTATTTCTAATTTTTAGTACAAAAACAAAATCATATAGTGACATGTTTTGTAACTATAAACTATAATTATTTTTACAAAAAAAATTATCACAACAAATAATGAGATTCAAGTTTTTAGTAAAAAAACAATGTTTGTCGTTATATGTTTTAATTATACTGACAAAATATATTGTCACATTGTCACAAAGATTTCCTTCCATATTTTGTGTCAAAAAATCATATAGTGACAAATTTTGTAACTATAAGTGTTAATAATTATTACAAAAAAAATTGTCACAAAAAATAATGATATTCACGTTTTTGGGAAAAATTATATTTGTAGTTATAAATTTTAACTATAGTGATAACATATATTACTTGTCATAACTATTTTTCTCCACTTTTTTGTTTCAAAAGTCATATTGTCAATTTTTATAATTATAATTATAATTTATAGTTATTGTTATAGAAAAATTATCACATCAAATAATAAAATTTAAGTTTTTGTAATAAATTATTTTTGTACTTATATATTTTAATTATTATGAAAAATTATACTATCAGAACCATTTCTCCCTATTTTTTATTGTCAAAATGTTATATAGTAACAAAATATATTGTAATTAATAAAATTTAAGTTTTTTTTAATTAATTATTTTGCAATTATATATTTTAATCATTATGAAAACTTATACTATCAGAAATATTTATTCTTAATTTTTGGCGAAAAAATATTATATTGTGACAAGTTTTGTAACTATATGTAATAGTTATTGTTATAGAAAAATTATCGCAACAAAAATTTCAATTAATAAAAGATTCATTTTTTTATTAAAAAATTATGTTTGCAATTATATATTTAATTATAATGAAGAAATATAATTATTATTATAAAAAATAAAATGTTCTAAAAATATTTTTTAAAATAAATAATTAATTTATGAGGGAAATTTCCCTCTATTTTATTTTAAAGGAATTTGATTTTTAATGCGAAACTGGTTTTTAGAGAAATTTATTTGTATTTATTTTATAAATGCTTTGTTAAAACTAGCAATTTAACCGTTTCATGCCATTATTCCAACTTTATATATCTTCTTTCATCGTGAAGGCAAAAAATAAAACAAGTTTTTCTTTGATATTATGTCTAATTACTTTAATAGGGATTAATTTAAAAGAAATCTAAACCTAATGATTTGATCTAAAATTAAGATTCTATGACTACATTGAAAGGAATATAAACTACCCAGCAAAATTAAATGTAATTAAAAAGAACCAAGGGATTAAAATGTAATAAAAAAAACATAGTTAATTAAAAATAAAACAAAATAGCATATAATAATGACTAAATTGTACTAAAAAAAACAGTGATCCACGATCAGAAATTAGAAAGAAACATTCAGTGACCAAATTAAAATAAATGAACAAAAAGGCCCAAATATAAAAACTGTGAGACTACAAGGCACCGTCTTCTAATTAGACCAACACTTTTTGGAGAACACAAAAACCCTAGTCTTTCACGCGTGTTGTTTTCATTTGGCCATTTTTCTTCTTTGCGCCGCATCTCTCTCCTCCGTAGCATTGTTCAACACTAGCAAGGATTTTCTAGGTTTTCCTTTTCTGTATCAGTAAGCGATGGCGATGGCTGCTCTCAGACGCGAAGGTAGGCGTTTCGCCCATCTGATCTCTCCCCGTCCAATCACCGCCGTCCGATCCTCTCCTATCGCTTCTACTCACGAATACCGATCTCTTTCTCTCGATCTCTTGGCTCATCAGCTAGCATACATTCTCATTCCATTTACCCTTATTTTACCTTGATTTCTGCTACAATGATTAACAGATCAGGCCATATCTTCTATTTCACGTTTTGGAGTGATTCGATTATTAGCTGTTTCTGAGCAAAATAAAGTTTTGTATAATGTACTTTCAGATTTTTTTCGTTCTGTAATTTTTTTGTCCCCCTTCTCCTCATCATTTGCTTATAAAATTGAAATGTATTATATTTCATTAATCTGCTAATAGAATTAATGCTTTAATTTTTTTAATGCTGATTTGTTTTTCTTTTGCGATTGAATGCGTGTCTGAAATTGAGCAAACAGTTGGTATTGTGGCGTGTTCAATTATTCCAAAGACTGGAAAAAGAGAAATATGTCAAAATTTTTATTGAGCCTTATAGGATTTATAATGAAATTCATATTTTTGGCAATTTTTTACCATTTGCAAACCCTAACCCCCAAAAAGATTAGAACACGCTCAAGTCTCCCTCTAGTCGCCACGGCTGGGACTCCTCAGATCCAATATTGTCATAATCAATGAAACTATGGTTTAACCATTCACTGGTACTTGTCCTTTTTCTTTTTCTTTTTCCTTTTCCAATGGATGTTTCCTGAAGAATCGAAATAAATTAATTAATTGTGTTGCTGCAGGCACGGTGTGAAACAACCAAGAAATCCATGGTCTGATGGTCTCGAATTCATAACTCAATGCCCGATTCGACCAGGAACCAACTTCACGTACGAAGTCATATTGTCGGATGAAATAGGAACCCTATGGTGGCATGCTCACAGTGACTGGACTCGCGATTCCGTCCAGGGAGCCTTTATCATTTTACCAGCCAAGCACGAAACTTATCCGTTCCCCACGCTGGGTGCCGATCAAACAATCATATGCTTCGTAATCATATCTTTCAACTTTCCACTCGGTGTTGTTTATAAAATCATTATCTGATTCTTTTTTAATTTGTATCGATAGAAACATGGTACAATGGAGACTACAAGCAAATGATTGATGAAGTGGTTGCAACGGGAACCACTCCTGGGCAAACAGATGCTTACGCCATCAACGGACACTTAGGCGACACATACGGATGCCCCATCGGTACGTTCTAGCATTACTGAAACCAGATCAAATTATTTATATTGCCCACTCTATAAATTTTTTCTAAATTCATCACTGCTTGCAGATACAATATTTCGTATGCAAGTTAATTATGGGTGTACATACCTTCTCCTAATCATCAACGCTGCAATGAATGAACTGAAATTCATCTCCATCACGAATCACACCCTCACACTCGTTGCCTAAGATGCTTCCTACGTTAAAAGGTTTACCAGCGACTATATGATGATCAACCCTAGACAAAACATGGATGTTTTAGTTGTCGCCAACCAAAACGCCGGACTTTATTACATGGCTACTAGACCTTTCTCCGATGTCGCTTTTCGGCCCGTTGACTTCATTACCTCTAGAGTTTTTGAATATAAAAACAATGCGGGTGGATTGAATACTTGGTGCAAATGTTGCTTCTCTGGCCACCCATAAGCAAATCTAAAACCTTCATTTTCATCTAAGTTATGGCAAATAACATTCTTTCACTATCACTATAACAAATTGCAACAAAATGATTTAGTCACAATAACACGTTAAATTTAGTCAAAGTAAATAGTTATGTCAGATTTATTTCGTCACAATATTTTGTCAAAATAAAAAATTGTGACAAATTTATTTAATCAAAATAACAATTCATAACAAATATTAATTTCTCATTATAAAAAATTGTGACAAATAATATTCTTTTACAATAACAAATTGTAACAAAATTATCTAATCACAGTAAAAAAGTTATAAAAATATATAGTGTCGAAATAAAAGTAGCGAGAAAATAAATTTTATTGTAATATGTCTTTTTGTCACGAAAACTTTTTTTGTTTGATGTTATAATTTAACTTAAGTGTGATGAAATTTACTTTTTGTGATAAAATAAGTATTTTATTTTAACTAATATCTTATTTTTGTAAGTTACATTTAATGATGAAATAACAACTGCGAAAAAATAATTTTTGTTGCTTTATGTATTTTCGTCACAAAATTCTTTTATATTTGATGTTTAAATATAAGTTAGTTATGACAAAATGTATTTCTCGTGACGAAATGGTTAATTGATTATTACAAATATTTTAATGCGATAAGTTAATTATAGTAACGGAATTTCATTATTACAATAAATACTATACTATGGTAACGAACACAATTTTGTCACAATATACTTTACATGATAAGGTTGTTATAACAAACAAGGTAACAAATAAAATTGGTCAGAATAAATATATCCTAACAAATTTAGTATTTTTAGTGATAAATAATTTTGTTGAAACAATCTAAATTTCTTGTAGTATATATATATATATATATATATATATATATATATAATATATATATATATATATATATATATTATGTTTATTTTCTATTTATTATCATTAATATTATATTTTGTAATTGCAGGTCCGGTCAAATGATCCAGAGTGAGTCCAATAGTCTAATGGTCTGGTTAATATCGAAGCCCAACCAGGCTCACAAGCCTGACCCAGCTGATGAGCCCGGTTGGGGAGTTAACAGAAGGCCTAAGAGGTAATAATCTAGAGGTTCAGGGTTTGGAAAGCCATAACTATATCAAAATTCAGCGTCGTATAATGGAGGCCTTTGGATTTGGGGTTGAGCATCCAACGGCTCAGGATAAATGGTATAAAATTAGGGTTTCCAAAACCCTAAGGATCCATGCGCAGCTAACTAATGGTCGTTGGATTTGGTTTCAATATCTGACGGCCCATATTTACTAAGGACATCCAAAGAGGAGCGCGTGTAATACACGAGGGTCAACGAGCTTCCCGAATGGCCAGATCTTCCACGCGCGCACACCTCGACTGTTTCTATCGTACCCGGGCACCCTGCAGCAACCACTCATCCAGCCTGCTACATTCCTCTGCCGTGAAAGTGGCAGAGGCCCTCCCCAGCTCGTGCATGCAACAAAATAAAGAGAAAAGGCATTAGAAAACAAAAAATACGAAGCAAAAGGGGATATACATATAACAACCATCAGTAAACAGAAAAAAAGGGCAGAGAGCATTAACGAGTAACGGGAACAACACAAGAAAAAAAGGAGAAATATTCTCTCCAGCAACCCATCAAATCTGGAGAGCAAGAAAAAAAAGGAGCTAGCAACCCAAAAAAAGGCACTTCTGTTTTTATTTGAGTAACCAAAAACAACAAAAAAGGGAAACCTCTTTTGGTTTTTTAGAACAACCAACCAGAAACCAGCAATCAAACCAAAATGGAAAGGCTTTCCCTTTTACGAGTGAATCGGGCACCCAAAAAAACCCACGAAAGGAAGAACCCTTAGCTTCGCTCTCGAAAAAAAGAACGTTTAATCCTTACCTTCCCCGTTGGAAAAAGAACGTTGTCACCGTCTCCCAAAGTTGAAACACCACCAAGTCGAAGGTAACCTCTTCCTTTGTTTCTTTTCAGGGTTAGGTGAGATTAGAGGTTTGGGGGAGTTTTGTTTGTTATTTAGACCGAGCTTTGCATCGATTCGAATCTTAGTTGGAGCCCGTAAGCGGGCTGAGGCCACAGCGGCCTTGTTTTTGTTCGGTGGCGAGAGAGAAAATGATAAGGGAGATAGAAGATTAGAGAGTGCAGCTGAGAGCTGATAAAATGAGGTTACGGCTTATTTTTTGCCTAAAATATTACGTATATGGTGCGGCCAAAACGGTGGCGTTTCGATGGCTAGGGCAAACAGTGTTTTGGGAGAAAGGGTTATTAGCGTGTAAGCTCCATCTTCTTGTAACTTGTTGTATTTTAATCCTCTAAACGAAGTCTTCAAAACCTCTGATTTCATCTCCTTGTTTTAACATCTTACATTGACATCCCTATGCTTGGTTGTTTTAAGTTCTTACCAGTTCGCGCATTTGATCTACCATTTCCGAATTATTTTATTTTGGTCCTATGCACGTTCAAGGTTTTATTGCAACTTTAGGGTCTGAAATATTTAACCTTCATGTTAAGTGGTCTGTATTTGTTTAATATGCTGGTTGATTCCGCCAAATTTGTTGTCATTGTGTTTTAATCACTTCTTTTCCTGTTTAAGCTTGTAAGTCAACTCCTTTATATATACATGAATATTTACGTGTACATATATAAAACCTGCGCCATGTTACGTATTGTATATTTTATTGCATTATGTGTAGGTACACAGGGCACATGTAGTTTCGTTATACCATGTTTCAATGACATGCATATAGGCCATTTAGGTTATACTTATTACTTTGTAAACATGATTTATTATTTTATAAATATTAATCGTGCATGTATTTTATGTTATAACTAAGGGTGAAATCATATTATTTTAGTAAATATATATGTATGTTGCGCAAATATTTTATTCCATGCGATGGTTACCCTTTTTCTGCGTATGTTAATATTGTTGGTCAAATGATATCATTTTTGCATGAGATGCATGATACCTTCATTAATATGATTTGACCCATATAAAATAATTGGATTAAGTGTAGTACCCTTCCATTTTAAAATCGTTGTGAGGAGACTATCTTAACTTATAAGAAAGTATCTTCCGATGATTTTAAAACGAAAGTGTATCCCAAAATTGAAACCCTAAAATTTGACCACATCTAAAATTTAGAAATGAGAGAAAAAGAAATGTTTGTCTATTTAAATTCTTCGAGAAAAGATCGTTAGAACTTATCTATGGTCTGATCTCGACGTCTTTAAATAATCGAATATTCTTCTTCTCTCTAAAAGGATTGGTAATTTTTAAGTTAATTTATTTAATTTCGTGCATTTGAATATTACAATGAAACCGTAATATTTCTTTATTTCGATTTGAGTAAGAATTGATTGTCTCAAGGTATGAGAGGTCGTTTCTTCTCAATTGGAAATAAGTAAATATAACTTAGTTTAATTCTAACATTCACAAATGTTGTTTTAAGGGATCTTAAATTAAATTAAATTCGAACTTGTAAATTTCATTGCAAAGAAAATTAATTAATCAACTAGGTACCGATTTAGGGCGTTGCAGGGGTGCTAATCCTTCCTCACACGTAACCAATTCCCAAACTCAAATTTTGGTAACGCAGACCGCAAATTTGTCGTTTTAATTAAAAATTAATATATTTTTATTAAAATGATAGAATACTTTTTTGGGTGCCCAATCACACCCTAATCAAAGATTGGTAGTGACTCATTGAACCACATATTTTATTTTATTTAAAGGGAATCCCAAAATTTTCGAAGCGAGAGATTTTTTAAAATCACACTACTTTTAATTAAAAATTAATCAAGAGATAATTAAAAAATGTGTGTTCTTTTAAAATCTGAAAAAAATCGTTTCGACAGCTTGGCGACTCCACTGGGGAATTTTTTTAGAGAGTCAGGCCGATAGTCTATTAATCAATTGTCTTTGCAAATGAAAATTAAAAGTTCGTTCTAATTTGGTTTTTTGATCCCTTGTTTGGTTTTAAATAAATTTTTGTTTGTAATTTGATTAACCACTAAATAGTTGTACTGACTTATTTGCTAATGTTTTTAGATTAATTGTGTTTTGGATTTGAGGAATGAGTTTGTGTGTTGTGTATTGTTTTTCTCTTTTCCTCACACACTGCACAGTTGCATTATCATATCATGAGCTAAAACCCTGCTCCGTCGAATTTAAGTATGAGTGAGAAATTACTCCCTCGTGTGGTTTTCACCTCCGTATGGGACAGTGAATCGTTCCAGGAGCTCACGCCTTATGGTCCTCGTGATGGTGTTCACCTCCGCACAAACATAAGGAGGTGTGTTCCCTCGAATTGAACTCGATTCAAAAGCTTGTGATGAGCTAGGATTGAGGGTTTGGAAGTCCAAGGGGGCATCGACAAGGACAATTCGAGAACCTTTCCCTTTAGAGCCAAACCCATCATATAGTGAACCTAGAACCTGAACCTAGGTAGAGCCTAACCCAAACCTTAATAATCCCGTGAGGAGGGTACACAAGGAAAATCTCTTTTGAGTCTTTTAAATTTTGTAGTATAATTTTATTTTCTGAATAAATTTATGCGAACTATAAATCATGCGGTTAGGTTTATTTTTTTCAAACAAGCATGCGAATTAGATATCATGTGGTTAGGATTTTTTGTGAATAAAAAAGCATGTGGGTAGAAAGCATATTTGGGTAGGATTTATTATACCATGTATAGGTAGTCAGCCTGTGAGGGTAGGTTTTATTTAATGCTTATAATACTTAATATCTTGTTATTTATCTTATGTGTACTAACCCATTTTTGTTTTGTGTCTATTTTATTTTGATTTCATTGGATTTTCATCTTCATGTCATCCAAAGGTGTTAATTCGCAAGTGATTGAGTAAATAAGAAGGTTGTTCATAATGAGATAAGAAATTCTTAGCCATGTAGTCAAAATTAGGAGATCTAAAGATGTTCTAATGATCTATCAAGAAAGACGTCCGATGAATGAAGAAATTTGAAGCTGATTGAAGACTTCCTTTAAAGGAGAAAATGCCAAGATATTTCCTCAAGAGATAGATATAATCATACCAAGGATGAGAATACCCTTCACAAAGACATGAAGATCAGTTCACATTGGAAGTAAAAATGGAGATCTCAAGATTCAACCATAAATAATTTAAGAACATTAGGCGTATCAAATGTGATAAAATACACCAACAACTTTGGGTGCAATGTTGGATTCCATGAAGAGTACGACTCAAAGAAATGAAGAAATGAAGAATCACAATTTTATTTTGATTACCTGGTGTAATGAAATCTTGTTTTCTAAATGAAGGTTGTTCTATGGTGGTTGCTTTTAGAATTAACACCTTGTGCATTTTCATTCTTATTTTGCATTAGCTTATTAATTTATTTATTTTGGTATTATTGCTTTTATAATAATTCTTATCATTTTGTTATCTTATTTGTACTAATGTGTTTTATGTTGTTTTTCTTTTTGCTTGCATCGCATGATCATGACATAATCAAAAGGTGTTGATTTGTGAGTAGTCATCAGAGTAAAAGGTTTTCATGATGGTCAAAGGGTTTTGTGATCAAGTACACTATAACACAACTGAGGAATGACGTTTTAAGCAAGCTCTGAGAATAGTAGAGAGCTATACACCTAAAGATCGTATGGTCGACGACGAGAAAAAGGAGATAATAGAGATGAAAGAGAAAATGTCCAAGATGATGGATAAAATAACTGCTTTGGCCAAAGGAAGATAGACTTCTACAAAAGAAAAGAAAGAGCTCGATGAAAACAATCTCGAGAGATAAAACACAATCACTGTTCATATCAACAAGTTGTCTGGAGACACAAGGAAATGGTCACAACTGTAGAAGTTCAGAAAGATGAAAAGAAGCCATGCAATCATAACTTGTTGGTATTTGATAGTCTACTCCCAACGTCAGGGGAAATAAACATGAAAACTCCAGTTCAATCAAAGTCGAGAGGTGGCTCTCATTTTGATTCTATCCCGCTATCATATAAGGAGTTGTATGATAAGCTGTTAGAAGCCCGAGAATTAGCCCCACATTATGTGAAATCTTGGCAACCTCCAGATCCAAATTGGTATGATGTCAACGTTTTTTGTGAATATCATGCTGGAGCTCAAGGACATTCCATTGAGAATTGCACCACCTTCAAACATCGAGTCCAACATCTTTTGGATCATGCAGTATTAGAGTTCAAATTGAAAGGTCGACCTAGTTTGGTAACATATTGTTCTGTTAAGTTCGAGCCAAAAGTGTTCAAAGGTAAGGGTATCAACAGGAGCATCCAATGGGAAGATTGTTTTCCAAAGTATTAAGCTCACATTCATCATTTGAGGAGTGAAAATGATAAACTAAGTAGCGAGATTGAAGCCATGCGTGATGGTTTTTAAAGGGTCAATCAAGCTTTTAAATTTGCTGGTATAGGAAATACCACAGAGGAGTGGGTAACAAGGGTATCTAAACTGAAAAACGATGTTGAATAATGGCGAAAGAATTTCAAGGTGCACGAAGGTCGAGCCGAGAATTTCTCTTCTGATTTACAGATTACAGAAAAAAGGCGCAATACAACCATTAATGATTTGGGGAGATGTCAAGCCAAAACTCATATGTTGAATATGTCTATAGCCAATATGGAAGCTTCATATCAGTGACACAAACGTGAGAATGATGCTGAGTTGGAAGCCACTAGAGCCAAGAACAAGACATTGATGAAGCTTATAGATGATTATGGAGATCTTGAGCTTCATAACTAAAAAAAACTTTCTTACAAGGAAAATTCAACAGCAGTTCGTACAGCTCCAAGAATTGACACATAAGATTGAGGAAAAAGACAACGCCATGAAAGAAGCTATTACTCAAGCAAGTAATGTGGCCCATAAATTGATTAATTTAGCTGGCTTTGCAAGATAATTGAAGAAGATTGACAACTCAATACCCGAGCATGAGTGGAAGTTAACTTGGCTTTTGAGAGAGATAGAGAAGTTAGGAGTTAAAGCTATCTCTTATATGTAATGTCTGTTTGATATACCAAAACCTTTATGTTCAATGAAAGTTGTTTTAAGATGGTCACTCTAGAATGACACCTTTTGCATACACGCTTTTGCATTGCATTTGTTTATTTAAGCATCTTATACGCATTAGTTATGAAAACATAAAATAACTTATAGAGGGTTAAGTGACAGTAATACCAAGATCATTCATTCATACCACTTCCTCATCGTCATGAACAAACAAATGGAAATAATTAAGCAATCTCATGAGGGATCTCACGATCAATTGCTAGAGCAGTTGGTCGGGTTACAACAAGATATGAGGAATCAAGCATCATGTTCCCTACAAAAGCATCATGTTCCCTATAAGAAGTGTCGAATCAGATGATCCAGGTGATTGCAACCAAGGCTGCTAATAGGGAGAAAATCGATGATAAAGGATGCCAGTGTCATCAGACTAATACGTCGAGAATGATAACCTACCCTGAAGCGTCCCACTCAAACCTAGAGAGGATCCTTATTAAATATGAGAATTTTGAAGATAAACTCATGAGGTAGAATAAAGCAATTGGAGCTATGAAAAGTGTTAATGCCTCTCATAAGGAACTAGAAGCTAGAGAACTTAGGCTCGTCCTTGATTTGGTCATCCCACATGAATTTTGGGTGCCTAATTTTGAGAAATATGATGGCACTAGTTTCCCCTAATTCATCTAAAAATGTTTTGTAGAAAGATGGAAGGGTACTTAAATGTGATAATCTGCTGAATCATTACTTTCACGATAGTCTTACTGGGCCACCTGCAGTATGGTATAACCGTTTGAACCGAGAGTAAATCAAGACATGGGTTAACCTAGATGATATTTTTAGGACAATATCGATATGTCAAAGGTTTAGCCCCAAAACATAAAGACCTTCAAGGAATAAGGATGAAAGCTACTGAAAGCTTTAAAGAATATGCCCTAAGATGGAGAGAAGTGATAGCACAAGTTCAGCCTCCCTTGTTAGAAGAAGAAATATCATATATGTTTCATTATTCTCTTCTAACTCATTTCTTCGAGCTAATACTGGAAAATTCGACAAAGGACTTTGAGGATCTTGTGACAAATGGGGAGTTCATTGAAAATGAAATCAGATAAAGAAACTTAAAAGTCATTTCCAAAAGCCCAACCAATCAAAAAGAAAAAGCTGATGAGGTGAATGAATGTCATGTCCAGAGCCCCCACAATCTTAAAAGAAAAGGAGCAGCTAGTCGCTTGAACTGACCAATGAAAGTCTCACGATCGAGAAATACTCTGAAAGTGTTTTAAACTTCTATCTCAGATCTATACCCCCATTTGATTAAAGGTCAATACCTCACACTGAGACCAACGAAAGTTCCACCAAACTCTTCTGCCCATAACTATGATCAAGATAGTGTATGTGATTTCCACTTGGGGGCATATGGGCATTCTACAGGAAATTGTAGGCCAGATGCTTGTTGAAAATGGAACGTTGACACAAGAATTGGTGGAACAGGGGATGGCAAATTCTATTGCGGCATCAAAGCAAAATATGTAGTATTCGATCGAGTCAAGTGCCACTGAATTAGATGAATAATATGGGACATCCTAATTACGAAAATATCATTTTATCTATCATGAGGCTTTATTCCATTTGTAACATCTTGTTTAAATTTTTTTTGTCATTTCTCAGTTTTTTGTAAGGATATTTAAATAAATTTATGTTACTTTAAAGATGGTGAGAATTGAATCAAATTTGCAATATTGTAGTTCTTTGAATATCAACAGAAGCAAAAACTCTTTAAATAATTAGAGTTATAAATCTTTGACAAAGTGACAAGACTGAACCCTGATAAAACAAGGAATCTTAACCATACCCTAGAAGATATACTCGAACACCATACTCTTCTCTTGCAGGAACCAAACTAGTAATCTCTCTGCATGAAGAGACGATTAAGGGCTTTCCATTCAGGTATGTGAGATGTGGACAAAATGGGGTATCTTGCACATGAGATTGCAAAGCTGATTGGTTTATACTTTTTTTGATAAAGTTCAATGATGATCATGATCTTCATAGATGAAATAGTCGAGTAGCTGAATCTAGTTTAGGTCAGTTGCTTGGAAATTGAACTCTAAAGATGAGATTTTTTTACTTTCAACAACACCTATACTATAACATGTTCTTCTTGACAAGATTAAGAAATTGAATCCGTATACCAAGAATGTAATTATATATGTATACAATAAAGCTTGAGCTATCCCTCTAGAGCAATTGGTTAAACGCCCCGGTTTTATGGATAATATTTAGCTAGCCCGATAAAAGCGAGTATATATATATATATAATAAAGCTGAATTCAGCTAGCCAAACAATGGTAAATTAAATCAAATTTATCAAAATAAGGAGTTTCGGTAAAAATGGACTAAGGGAGTTAAGGAACACCTGTTATAGTCAATTTCACACGAGCACTCAAGAATTTTATTTTTAGACCGATATTTCTGCACTGCCTTTGTTAGAGGAGTTTACAAAGCTTGAACACATGAAAGATTTCAGAGAACTGAAATGGAAGTGTTCCAAAAGGTCTAGCAATTGAATATGCTAGTTACTTCATTTTGTTTGTATCCACTTAATATGCCAAGCCAAGAAAGAGGAGCATGTTATAATGTTCGCATGGACCGAGAAACAAAAGACATATTTGATGATTGTAACCTTAGAAAATAGGAAGCCAACCTGAAGCCAATCCATCAATTTTGACACTTGTCAAAAAGCTATAACTCTGAAAACTTTAAAGAGCTATTGATTCTTTTGATATTATGTGAACTCATGTTTATGATTTGATTCGATTGTGAGACTGAATTAAGGGACAATACTTTACAAAATTCTTATATTCTTTGATTTCTAAAATAAAAGAAAGGAGAAAACATTTTCAAATAGGACAGTCTCAAATGCGAAAAGTCCTTGGAGCAGGTAAGGCCCTTTCTGCCTCTATTAGGGAGAGAAAATAAGCGAGGCCAAAACATGAAGAATTCCATATTCTTGAAAGAAAATAGTCTAAAACATCAGAAGGACTAG